AAGACCTCATCCACACAGAGCATTTGTGAGCCTGGTAAACTTCCCTGATCAGTTATAGGTCAAGAGGAAGAATCACATCACACCATACAACACATAACTTAAAGTCCCTTATTAGCTGTAACCTCTGTATTCTTAAAAGTCCCTGAACTCAGTTGTCACTAGGGTTCCTCACTGACTTTTCACCCAAGTGCAGTGTCCAGTCTCCTAATATCTTGATGGCGTCTCCCTTCATCTCCCTGTACTCCACTTACCTCTCATCTTCCTCTCACAAGAGCAAAACACCAAATCCCTCCCACGGCAGAGCAGCTTAGTCAGTCTTAGGTGGCTTGGTATCATACTGACACCCATACTCATAGAGTCTCTACCTCTATATCAAGTGGCCTAACAAAATATTTTATCAAACAAAACATATCCTTTCCTAAGAAGGGTTCTAGAGCCAAGGCTGTCAGAAATTTTCAATTCCATAATCTTTTTAACCTCTTAGCCTTTTGACATGTTATTCCCCCACCTAAATGTCTGACTCATTCTTTAGAACTCATTCCCCCAACAGTCTTTCCTCAAAAAAGGAATCTTGTTGGTCCTGCAAGGTACCTGGGGGTATGCTACCTATCCTGGACCACTGAAATCCAAGGTCAGGTGGTGGGCAGATGAAAATTTGGACAGAAGATAATAAGAGGGGTGGTTTACTTCTAATTTAGCTCTAATATGAGATAGTAATCTTTTGGAGCTTATTGTAGAGATTCTCTCCTTTAGATTTCTCCCCTGACTGATTTCTGTACTGCTCACCCCACAGCATCCCTAAAACAAAAATGAAATTGGAAACAATTGGCACTGCCTTAAGGGCAAAAGTGGCTCCTGTGCTTTTTTACCTCTCTGTAGCCTTATTTTCCCTTTTTTTTCTTTTTAATTTTTTATTTAAATTCCAGATAGTTAACATATAGTGAGTATTGGTTTCAGGAGTAGAATTCAGTGATTCACCACTTACACACAACATCCAGTGCTCATCACAAGTGCCCTCCTTAGTACCCATCACCTCACCTGTCTAGCCCATCCCTCACCCACCTCCCGCCATCAACCCTCAGTTTGTTCGCTATCTTTAAGAGTCTCTCATGGTTTATTTCCCTCTCTCTTTCCCCCCCTCCCATATGTTCATGTTTCTTAAATTCTACATGAGTGAAATCATATAGTATTTGTCTCTGACTGACTTATTTCACTTAGCGTAATATACTCTAGCTCCATCCATATCATTGCAAATGGTAAGATTTCATTCTTTTTGATGGCTGGGTAATATTCCATCATGTGTGTATTATGTATGTATATGTATATATGTATGTATATTTATAGATGTATATATATGTGTGTCTATATATGTGTGTGTATACACACACACACACACACACACACATACACACCATATGTTCTTTATCCATTCATCAGTCAATGGATATTTGGGCTCTCTCCATAGTTTAGCTATTGTTGATAGTGCCACTATAAACATCAGGGTACATGTACCCCTTCAAATCTGTATTTTTGTATCCTCTGGGTAAATACATAGTAGTACAATTGCTGGATCATAGGGTAGTTCTATTTTTGAGGGGCAGGGGCCTCCATATGTTCTCCAGAATGGCTGCACCAGTTTGTATTCCCACCAACAGTGCCAAAGTGTTCCCCTTTTTCCACATCCTCGCCAACATTTGTTGTTTCCTGAGTTGTTAATTTTAGCTATTCTGACAGGTGTGAGGTGGTATCTCACTGTGGTTTTGATTTGTATTTCCTTGATGATGAGTAATGTTGAGCATCTTTTCATGTGTCTGTTAGCCATCTGGATGTCTTCTTTGGAAAACCATGTCTTCTGCCCATTTCTTAACTGAATTATATGTTTTTGGTGTTGCATTTCATAAATTCTTTATAGATTTTGTAGACTAACCCTTTATTAGCTATGTCATTTGCAAATATCTTCTCTCGCTCTGCAGGCTGCCTTTTAGTTTTGTTGATTTCCTATTTTCCCTCTTATGGATCTCTGGTATTTCCTATCTTGTTAACAACTAGTCACTTTCAAAAAAGTATTTTTCTTCTTTTCTTTTCAGCATTTTGTTTTGTTTTAGTCTGTCTCCTCCAGGTAAATCAATAAGGTCAGACAGAAATAGATTTTAACTTCTCTAAGAAAATTTAACCCAAAAGTGTAATTGATTCCCTTTTTAAGATCTTCATGTCATTGTCTGCTCTCCAGGAAAACCACCTAGACAATAAATATCTGTAGCCCATCATATATTTGCATTATATATTTGCAAGACACTATGCTTTATCTTGGGGATTTTGTGGTGAGTATGGCAGAGTCCTTGTCTACAGTGACTTGTCCTTTTTGCTGTGCTATGGAAACTGTGATGAATCAGTGTTCTTTGTTCTCTACAACATTATACTGTTCATCTCTTGGCAACAGATTACCAGCTTATTATAAAAGGATAAAGCTTTGAAACAGCTAGGTGAAATACATGCATAGGACAAGCTATGTGGAAAGGTACCCAGAACTTCCACGCTCTCTGAGTGCACTACTCTCCCCACATTGCCATGTATTCATCAACCCAGAAGCTCCCTTCTCAGTACTTTTGGTTGTTTTCAGTGGGAAAGATATTCCAAATAATCTAGACAGCCATAACTGGAGACTTAAGTCATTAAATCCTTACTAATTAGGAAGCAGATTTTTTGTCACGTATTCTTAAGTGTTTTGTGAGGCCTTCTTCTAGGCAGAAGCTTCCATTCTTGTGTCAATGGCTACAGTCCAGGAAACAAATCCATCTCTCTGGCTTCACTCATGCATGCACTCATTCAAAAGACATCCACTGGATATGTTCTATAAAGCATGGTTACAAGAGTGAACTGGTTAGAGTCCTTGCCCTCCACTTCCTTGTTAAGAACGAGCAGGAAGAGCCATGTGAATTACCACTTTTTAAGATCAGAAAACCCTACCAGCCAACTTATGAAATTTCCACATCTCCAGCCCACTGAATGGCACAGTTATAAGGGATGAGAAAACTTTAGCATGCATAACAATCATCTAGAGGGCTTATTAAAACAGATTACAGGGGCCCACCTCCAGAAATTGTGATTCCTAGGTCTGAAGCAGAGCCTGAGAATTTGTATTTCTAGCAAGGTTTTAGAGAGATGCTGATGTTTGGTCCATGGTCCACACTTTGAGAACCACTATGAAAGGAGCTCTAGATAAAGCTTAGGAGCAAATGCTTCTGCTCCTTTGCAGGACTCTCCATTTTTAAAAATCAAAAGATAATCCATAGCCAAAACCATTCAATGGGGAAACAATATTCTTTTCAACAAATGGTGCTGGGACAACTGGATAGCCACATGCAAAAAAAAAAAAAAAAAAAAAAAAAATGAAGCTGTATCCTTATCTCACACCATGTATAAAAATTAACAACAAATCAACATGGATCAAAGACCTAAAGATAAGAGTTAAAACATAAAAACTATTAAAAGAAAACAGGGGTAAATCTTCACGATCTTGGATTTGGCAGCATATTCTTAGATATGACACAAAAGCACAAGAAATAAAAGAAAAATTGATAAGCTGGACTTTATGAATATTAAAAACTTTCGTGCCCCAAAGAACACTATCAAGAAAAGAAAAAGACAACATATAGAATAGTAGAAAATACTTGTAAGTCATATATCTGAGAAGGGACTTTATCTACAAGTTTTATACCTCAGTAATAAAAAGAAAGCTCAGGGCCCCTGGGTGGCTCAGTCGGTTAAGCATCCAACTTCGGCTCAGGTCATGATCTTGAGGTTTGTGAGTTCGAGCCCCCATTGGGCTCTGTGCTGACCGCTCGGAGCCTGGAGCTGCTTCAGATTCTGTGTCCCCCTCTCTCTCTGCCCCTCCCCTGCTTGTGTTCTGTGTGTGTCTCTCTCAAAAATAAATAAACGTTAAAAAAATTTAAAAAAAGAAAAAGAAAGCCCAATTTGAAAATGGCAAAGGACCTGAATAATACACATTTCTCCAAAGAACATACATGAAATGGCCAATAAGCACATGAAACGATGCTCAACATCATTAGTCATTAGGAAAACGCAAATCCAAACCATAAAGAGATACTACTTCACATGCCCTAGGAGGGCTATACAAGAACCTAGAGATGGACAGAAAGTAGATTAGTAGTTGCTTGGGGCTAGGGTGGGAATGGGCAAGTGTGGAAATAAACAATGGCTAAAGGGCACAAGGTTTCTTTTTGAGGTGATGAAAATGCTCTAAAATTATCGTGTGATGGTTGTACATATTTGTGAATATACTAAAAACCATTTAATTGTATACTTTAAATGGATGAATTGTATGGTATGTATATTATATCTCAATAAAGATATTTAAAAGAAAGAAGTACATGGAGTACAACTACAAATCACCATCATCATCATCATCATCATCATCATCATCTGTAGGCCCTCAAAAATTTAACCTCATTCCTTCAGCAATTCGAGGATGCCCAAATAACCAGTATCTATCATAACGTACCCAACACTGAGAATTCTGTGTTTTAAAAATGTAATCTAAAAATAATTTTAAAGCTGTAGGAATTTTAGTTGTTTGTCTTAGTGTGTTCAGGCTGCTATAACAAAGTCCTCCCGACTGGGCGGCTTCTTAGAAGCAACATTGATTTCTCACAGTTCTGGTGGCTTGAAGTCCAGGATCACTGTGCCAGCATGGTTGCATTCTGGTAAAAGCCTTCTTCCTGGTTTGTAGCTGGCACCTTTTTGCTGTGTCTTCACATGGAGGAAGGGGCTGGCAAGCTCTCTGAGGTCTCTCAAGAGCATGAGTCCCATTCATGAGGGCTCCGCTCTTGACCTAGTCACTGAGTAAAGGGCCCACCTTATACCGTCACACTGGGCATTGGGATTTCAACACATGAATTTGGGGGACACAAACATTCTGACCATAGCATTCCATAGTATTCCATGCTGAAGTGATTTCAAAAGTATCTCTTTTTTCACAGATATCAGGAATTAAGGGAGTCATTCCAACAATGTAGACTTCCATGGGGTGCTGACAGAGAATATGGTGGGGTAATACCCATTTCACTCCCTGAGGAGCACAGGCCAAAATGTGAACCTCCTCATGTCATGGGCAAAGGACATCAGCATTATGGATTTGGTGGAGAAACCTGGCCAAGGTAAATAAACTTCCTGCTCTTTACATAGAGATCTTTATTTTGCATTTTTCTTTGCTCTTTGTTTCCATTGTGAGTCTTGTTGTTAACTTAAATCTACCTCCAAATTTATTTCTTTTACTATTTATGAAAAGACACAGATGGAAAAACTAATTATATAATTTCTAATTGTGAAATCTGTAAAAAAGAAATCTGTTTATGGATGTCTTTGCTATCCTGAGAGATGTTCAATTATTGTGATCAGAAATTTTGATTAATTCCCTTGCTAATCACATTTTATCTAAAACTATATGAGAATATTCCAGAGAGATATTAAATTTAAAATCTTTTTGCTTGAGCAAATAGCTGGCCTCATTTGTATAGATGTTGTTGATTTTTGGAACTTTTGATTTCTAATTTGTTCATCAATCTGTAGTCATTAGAATCTACTGGGCATTGTTTTCAAGTAATAAAATATTTCAATAATCACTTGTAACTCTTAAAGTCACTCAGCGACTTTCTTCAAAACATATTAAAACTGAAGAGAAAGCAAAAAAAAAAATCTGAGCAGCAAATTAAATGTCACATTAACTATTTAGTAAAAATATGAAATTTTAAAAAACTATGAAATTTACTCAAAGCACAATCTATCAAACCTTCCCACAGAGCCTACCTACTCCTGCTTTATCCAACAATCCTGCTTACCTGGCTTACTAACAATCTAGCTAACTAGTTTTTTGTTCTAAAGCAGTTTCAAAAAATACATTAGGAAAGACAAGCTGCAGGTAGAAAGAGAAACAATAATGACACGTGGCAGCTAACGACCTTACTGAATAAAAAGCAGACAAATGAGAAGGCCTGTCAGTCCAATGGGAAAGCTGCAAATACTGACATATTACAGATAGCAAGGACCTCAAGATCATGAATTCATCCAACAGATTTCTTCAAGTCCCCACTCTCATGGAACTTACGTTCTAATATAATATAGAGAGATTTATAATATTGTTGTACAGTAGCCACATTGTTATCCTGGTTTTACAATAAATGGAGACCCAGAAGACTCAGTACCTTTCTCTGGATCACACAACTGTGAAGTTGTGCAACAGGGACTGGAGTCCAGATTTATTTGACCCCAAAGACCAAGTTCTTTTCATCTGTCCATTCTGTTCATCATTCACTCCAGCTATTCATTTATTCAGCAGTTTTGAGCATTGTTCTAGACTAGGGTTGTATGTATCTCTTTACGGATTCTGCATCTATTGTCCTCAAAATTTACATATTAAAAAAACACACAATATTCTAAAAGGATCAGAACTGTACTCACAGAATTCAAGAATGTAAAAGAAGAGCCAAAGACAGGTTTCTTAAGGGACATCCAGTTTGAAATGAGAGGTTTGTGTCTGGTGCCTCACTGAATGCAGCCCTAGGCCACTGGGAGATAAAGTACTTGTTCCAATTAGAATGCCCATCATCCCTGGCTCAGAAATGCAGGTTGCTATACTCTATTCTCTTCACAACTATGTTAAACATTATCACTTTGGCATATTTATCTCTTAAAAATATATTTAGGACAAAGTCCTATTTTCTGATACAATGCACATTACTTGGCAAACAACTACAGAATAGGTTTTACTTGTCTCCTAATAGGGAATAACTTCTGTCACAATATTTTCCTTTCTCCCCAAAAAGGGCCTTTTTGTTTAATAACAGAATATTTTCCAGCTCTCTGAGGGGTCAAGCCTCATCCCGGTCCATATAAAATCTTGCTCTAACAATCACACCCTACCACGTTCCCTAATGGGGATTTTCAGTGGGGTGCTGTGGTGCCACACATTCACCCCATCCTCATGGGGAACAGGATCACCCCTTTGCCTCACCAACCCTCCACTCATATGACTTTATAAATTGAAAGTACCTGCTTCTTTTTTTTTTTTTTAAGTTTATTTATTTATTTTGAGAGAGAAAAAGAGAAAGGGAGGGAAAGGGAAGGGGCAGACAAAGAGGGAGACAGACCCCAAGCAGGCTCTGCACTGTCAGCACAGAGTCTGACATGGGGCTCAATCTCACTTTGTGAAATCATGACCTGAACTGAAATCCAGAGTTGGACACACAACCCACTGAGCCACCCAGGCGCCAAGTACATACTGCTTAGGAAAATGTCCAGTGAGAGGTCCTATGGTATGTCGTGTGAGGTTAAGAAGTTAAAAGAACATGGCTTACTAATGGAAATATAATCATATGCATTTATATATGCATGTTCCAATGTAATGTCCCTGTCAACATCAGTATTCCTTGCGGCATTTCATGACATAACCTATATCTAATTAAAACACTTTTGGGGCGCCTGGGTGGCGCAGTCGGTTAAGCCTCCGACTTCAGCCAGGTCACGATCTCGCGGTCCGTGAGTTCGAGCCCCGCGTCAGGCTCTGGGCTGATGCCTCGGAGCCTGGAGCCTGTTTCCGATTCTGTGTCTCCCTCTCTCTCTGCCCCTCCCCCGTTCATGCTCTGTCTCTCTCTGTCCCAAAAATAAATAAACGTTGAAAAAAAAAATTTAAAACACTTTTAAAGGAACTTAAACAATTTCTACTTAACCAAGCTTTGGAAATTCAAAGTGAAGTTGTCATCACCTAACTCAGCATCCATTCGCTTAGAAGAATGAAGTTACAAAGTAATAACAATTTATAGCTTTGTTTTCACTTCCATAACCACTTCTTCTTATAAGTTTGATAAAGTAGCAAAGTTTTTACTTTAAGAAAAAGGAAATGAATCTTCCTCTAACAAACTGGCAAATGTTAAAAAGCTGTTCAACAGATACACAGTGCTCTGTGAACTAACGAATACTTTGAAACTCTTGCTAACCAGCACCCTTTAATGATGACACAAGTAGTAGTGGTGGTGATAATGCCTGCAGGTTAATGCTTATGAAACAAAATCACGGAATATCCCTCTCCTGTTACCTAACAGAGAAATAAACAGGAAATTCACCAGCAGCCCCCAAATAAGAAAAGAAGAACGACTTTATGCCATTAATTTTAATGTTATGTCAAGAAAAGAAAATTCCATGTCATTTATTACAGTTTGTAACTAAATGTTTCTCAAGAGGGCATCTGGAGCAGGACAGTTCTTTGTCCCGTACACTGCAAGACATATATCATCTCTGGCCCTCAACCTGTAAATACCAGTCTCATTCATTGTGACAACCAAAATAAAACCAGCCACACATATTTCCAGACCCCTGGAAGTGCTGCAGGTCCAGAGAGAAAACACACTATTGGTTGAGAGGCATTATACCTAACCCCATCCCTATATTCCAAATGCATACTGAGACGAGTCAACAAAATCCTGATAATTCTCCAATTTGAAGAGAAGATTAAGACTGAGCAATCCTAATAGGTAATCCTATTAGAACTGAAGAAAAGCCTCAAGAGTAGAAGCCTCTATTTTAAAAACAACAAGATCTCAGGGCGCCTGGGTGGCTCAGTTGGTTGAGCGTCCAACTTCAGACGCTCGGGAGATCATGATCTCACAGTTCATGAGTTTGAGCCCTGTGATGGGCTCTGTGCTGACAGCTCAGAGCCTGGAGCCTGCTTCAGATTCTGTGTCTCCCTCTCTCTCTGCCCCTTCCCTGCTCATACTCTGTCTCTGTCTCTCAAAAATAAATAAACGTTAAAAAAAATTTTTTTTTAAAATAAAAACAACAAGATCTCAAGAGAGATGAAGTTGTGCAGAATGTGTGCTCTTCCAGAACACTGTGTTGACCTAAGGGAATGAGTAGAAGCCATGGGTATGGCTCCTTCCCTAAATGAAAGGAATGAGCCTTACAGAGGACATTTAATAGGACCTTAGACAGCAGTACCAAGAGACTCGGATTCCATCTGACACAATCTCAGCACTTAACTCTCTGTCCCTTCCATCCCATCAGGCTAAAGAAATATGGAGAGAATAATATTCAGTCATCAAGCTTGTAGCACAGACAGAAAGGCAAACTTATTTCAGATGACAGGATCAAGAATTCACCCACACTAGATCAGAGCAAATAGCTGCATTTAAACAGAGCTGTTCAATTAAATACATGTAATATGAGAAGAAATGATGAGGCATCAGGAATATAAAATTATATCTATATCTATATCTATATCTATATCTATATCTATATCTATATAGCACATTAAGAAACTAGTCTGAGAAAAAACATAGCCCAGGAAACAAAAGTAGATTCTCTCTTTTTTTTTAAACTACATTCTTCATAAAGGGACTAAATAAGTATGTGAATCTCATAAAAGACAGGATGATTAGAAAATAGAATATTATAAAAGGGAAGACCACAAAGCTTAGGGAAAAAATAAGAAAAACACACAAAAGCACTCACAAATCTAGTAAAAAAAAAAAAAAGAAGCAGCAAGAAACAGAATGGATGTGACTGAAAACTGATATAATGGCATAAAGACAATAAATCACAGAGAAAGCAGAGAGAAAAGATAAGGATATTAAAGCAATAAAGGAAAAAGTTATGGCTATTAAGAACAAGCATAATTATCGTAAGGAAAACTGATGTCCCAAATGCAGAGGATCTAACAAGTAAAACAAATAATAAGTAAATCTAACAGAAAAAGGTACTCAGAGATACACAAGAAAATTCCCTTGAAATTAAGAACAGAATTAAGAACTAAATTCTGAAAATCAAAAGCATATACCATATAATGGCAAAAATAGAGTAGAAGTACTGACAATTGAGATACAACCTGGTTATTTTAACGAGAGAGAGAGAGAGAGGGAGAAAGAAAGGGAGAGAGAGAAAATGTGAGTGGGGGAAAAGAGCACAGAGAGAGAGAGAGAGAGAGAGAGAGAGAGAGAGAGGGAGAATCCTAAGCAGGCTCCATGCTCAGCATGGAGCCCAATGTGGAGCTCTATCCACAACCTTGGGATCATGAGTTGGGCCAAAATCAAGAGTCGGACACTCAACCACCTGAGTCACCAGGCACCCCAATATTATTTTATTCATAAAGAAAGAGTTCTCTCAACAT